GTCCATTACTTAGTGGACCGTGACAAGGGTACATCACGTTGAACCTAGTCTATCACAGTGCTGGTAGCTCACTGCATTTTACCTGGACAGAATGTCAACAATCTCCTTAGGCAAGTCTTAACAAATGCCTACGCTTCTCCATTTTCAATGCTACAGAGTCTGCATAAATTCACGTGCTAATATCAAACCTTCCCTTGTATTCAAAAGGATTGGAATTGCGAACTGTAGTGGGATGAACTTGTGCCGTCTCCACTGAGAATTCCACATCTTAAGCGGATGCTGACAGAAAACAACAGAACCTTCCGTGGACATGGACCTCCTTTGCATGTACCAGGTTTGATAGTTTGTGCCAAACACCAAAACACCAAGCTTACCAAAAGCAGCAAGAGAAGACAAAATGTTACCGATTGCTAAGTAACACATGAAAACATCCTTATGAGTGAACATTGACACAATTCATCTTTTAATGCACTCGTAATTCAAAAGCGTACTACGGCTTCTAAAGCAAGTTCTGCCTTAAAAACACAATAGCAGAAGGTCACTGGATTCCAAACGTTCTTTATTTTATATTCGCTGCCATAGAAAGTAATTGAACAGCACTGTCATCAGTGTTATTAGGAAAAAAGAATGTGGTTTTTCTTCTCCTGAAGATGTGATGTACATTAAGAAGTCAGTTCAAAATCCTGATGTTAAGTACAAAAAGCAACTGTTTGAATTATAAAATACTGTATATACAGATATAAAAATGTTTTAGAAAGTGTTCCACAAAGTTTCTAAACTTTCAAGGGCAAATATTCAGCAGGGTAGATAGGCTGTTGTCTTCACCGGTGAGCATCAGTTCATTTGAGTAGACTGTCCGAATCTTTATCTTCCTATATTACAGGTGACACAGACTTTGACTTTCATCCCAGCCAGGGATAACATGATGGTCCTAGTGATTAAGGTGTTTTTTTTCCTGGAGCTATTAATTTAACAAGCACACTCTCTATATATAAAAATGAAATTTCAAAGAAATTTATACAACAGCTAGGCTTTATAAAAATATAGATCTATAATTTTACACCAGGAATTACCCAAGGTAAGTTTCCATTTTCTTATGTCTTAACCATTAGAAATTAATTTTTATCCTTTGGAATCTTACCTCCTATGGCTAGAGTGTAAATTAAAATAATGTGAAGTCATTAGCTGGTGAAGAGAGCTTCAAGAATCTCATTCTGTGGGTTTTTTTGGCCAAAATTAACAAGCCACTGCATTCTACAGTGCTCATCTTGTGGTAGTGGACATATTACACAGTACATATCTACTTATTCCAGAATCTCGACCTAATTCATTGTTAAAACCCAAATAAAACATCCCCATTGTCCTTACTGTGGGGAGGAAAAAAAAAAAGAAACCCACATAAATAAAATTAGACATTATTTCTATTTTGCTGTACTGCGTTACTTCTTTACTGTGTAGTGGAGGCAATAATGAATGATACAGCCAAGTGACGAAGGAATGTAAAACTGAATACATACTGAAAAAAACCAGACTTTTACAGCCATGTGTATATATTTTTTATATATATATCTATATATATCTACATTGCAGTTATAACTGCCACCTCACAAAGAGATTCAATGGACTGAACAATCACCTATAAACTTCACCAGCTGGAGTTCTTCAGGAAGAACTAGCTTTCAGCTTGGACAGCAGCATTTCATTCTTACGGAAATTCCTGTTAACAGAAAGCAAACAGAGAAGGAGATAGTTGCTCTTAACTCTCCTAGTTATATCTTCGCATCAGCAAAACTAAACCCTTGTATTTGGAAAGATCTCCAAAATCCAAAGTAGTCTGGAGCAACTGATGAGCTGAAGATAATTCCGATTCATCCATAATGTTATTCCAATGGTAATATTCATTAAACTTTATGACATTCAAGCCAAAAGGAATGCTGCTTGACCATTCATCTAAAGTTGTTACAAGTAGCTAAAGCAAATCCACCTTTTTACTTATAAATTGAATCTGAAATTGAGATTACTTTTAGGTGATCTGGAACTTCACAGGACAGTTTGCGAAAAAGTCAGTGTTCAGGGAACAAATCTAAGTCAAGAAATATATTTACGTAAGTACATACCACCTGCTTTCAATACCACAACCATGACTTCATTTATTTTTAAGGATAGCAAGGTTGAGTAGAAATTCCCTCACGAGGCAGTGGAAGAAAACTGGCTTATTTACACCTCCACAAAAAAAAAAAATTCCACCTAACTTCTGCAACTAGGACGTAAAATTATGTCAGAAAACTAGTTGAACAGTCCCTGTCATTCTCCCAGAGTGCATTGTCCAAAACAGGAAGGAACTGTCTTGGAACAAGGCAGGATAAATTACAGAAACATGTTTTTCCTCAAACATCTGAAGCCAAATGACAATTTTGCCTTGCAACACTACTTTGTCATTCATTACCATGGAGACAATAATTAACAGAAGAACATTATGATGAAAAGCTTGGGAAAGGCTAAATCAATGAAGTCTTAAAGAGTGCTTTCACAGTGGTTAGAAAACAAAGCAAGTTCCTAAAGGTATTTGCAACTACTGAGACTCTGAATTCCCTCCCTTATTCACACATGTTTCCACAACCCTCTTTGCTCCAATACTTAACTGCTCATAGCTCTTCAAGAGATTCCATTTGGAAACTTAAAGATATGGCTTGCTCGGTAACAAATTATCCTTCCCCCGTAACACGGAGGGGTCCTAGTCTATCAGTGAAAAAAAGAATTTCCAGAATCGAATTCTGAGTCCAAGAATCACATGGAGATAACCACCAAGAGACACGGTGAACATGGCGTGATAAGCATTGTATCAGGAAATCTTGTGCATGTGTTAATGCACAAGTCAAGCCAAAATGGGTCACCGAACACTTGACAGTTTACATTAGCAAAAATGTTCTTACCTCTTTAAATTCTTTCACTGTTTTAAAGTAAAGCCTCTGTTTCTCTAGAAGCTCTAAATATTCATCATTCAACTGGTCTCTTCGCATTTTGTTTTCTTGCTTCTTCTTTTCCATCTGTTGATATACAGGAAGGATAAGAGATCATACACTGTATAAGGAATACACACACACACATATATATATTCTGTATAAGGAACAACTATCTGTAACACACAATGGGACACAGATGCTTCATAAATTATACCCCTGGCTTGTGCTTTAAATGCAATGAACATTTAGGGTTTTAATTTCTTTTAAGAGCTGGCGTAATGCTGAAGTCTCAGTACCAGTGACACTATAGGTAGCATTGAGAATTAAACTAAGGCTCACATCTCTACAAGCCAGGAATCTTGCTCACTGAACAATCCTACTACAATAATGACACAGTGAAATTAATTAACCAAAAAAAAAAAAAGGAAAGGTTTTTGATGCAATACTGCGATCTTGTTTTGGTTATTTCTTTGTTGTATCAAAAGGGGAGGGCAGGACACATCTTTGCCTTCTTATGCAATGCTGTACTTGCTCAAGATCCACACACACAAAATCTCTTTTCTTTTCTCCTTGTGCCAAAGTTGTGACAAACATAACTTAAGTCCCTAAACGTCAGGAGGATTGGTTCTTACTATAGAACAGCCTGCCCTCCTCTCATGGGTAGTTCTAATGAAGTTCTTCCATCACAGCATCACAGACAACTTTGCTGCTTGCTAGAGAGTGAATTTTGCCTCTCTCCCTCCGGTCCTAGGGCACAGCCACATTAAAAAAAAAGCCCTGTTGTATTCTTCTCCTCAAAAAGTATTTTTGCATTCTCTCTGACAGGCTTTCACCTCCTAAATTTTGACAGGGAAAAATGCAATTCCAAAAACTGCAAGAATCCCCTAAAGCCCAAACAAGCAGGTAATTCCAGAGCAGCAGAACTTGCTGCATTTCTAGATTTATGTATCAACATTGATTTTACTGATTCTTATGCCTAAAAGAAATGAGCAGATCCCAAACTTTCCTTGAGTATGAACGCTGCTAACAGGGTACATCTTCTTTACAAAGGCAGCTGCTGTCCAAAACATCAGGGAATCTCTCCTAACATAACTTATCAGGGCAAGTTATGCTTGAGGAAGATAAAGCATCAAATGCGTTAATGCAGAAAAAGAGCATTATCACATGTGTCCTATTCTTTTAGGATGAGGCTAAAACCAGCATTGCTAAAACATCTAGGAACTAGATACCTGTGAAGAGGTAAGGCCCTATTACTATCCTTTGATAAATTGCCTCCGTTATGCATGACCATGACAAATCTCTCAACATGCTCCTGTCAGTAAAAACTGGCCTGCTCTGTCCTCAGAAAGTCTCATGAGTATCTGTTACCACACTGAAATGCTTGTTCGCAAGTTACTCACTCTTGGTAACAAGTATGCCTGATTTCTCCTTAGGCCTCTTTTACCACACAGTTACAGTATGATGGGCTTTGAAAACTGAAATTTCCCTTCAGGTATAAGGTATAAGGTCTTCAGGGCTGTAGAGAAAGCAATTCAAGTGGATGTACTTTAAGAGTGAATTGTGAAACTGACTGTGAGCACATCTAACGCACTGCAGACACAAGTCGAATATGTAAGACTAAACCATCACGGGGATGAATAAGCCTTGCAGCGTACAACTAGCCTGTCTGTTGGAAAAGTTATCCAACAGGCATTTCCTAGGTGAAGAATAAGAAAACCTTCCCTTTTGCTGCAGAGCAGTTCCCCAAGGAACCATGTGAATTGTCAAAAGTTTCTTAGCATCTGTTTGTTGTCAGCATCTTCACTGGCTTTGAGAAATCAACTATTAGAAGGTACTGAATGATTATCTCTTTTTTTTTTTCTTTTCTTTTCTTCTCAGTGGACATAAACTTAGCTTTTTCATTCAGAAACTCTTGTTTTTCGCCATTAGTTGCAACTGCCACCTCCTGCTGATTGGGACACCTACACCTAGGAATGAAATGTCACTTGTGAACTCTCTCACAATATGCCAGCAGCCAAACTGCCAGTGCAGGAATACAGCACAAGTGACGTGAGCTGCCACTGCTTTCAGCAACCGTCAGGGATGCTGAAATTGTATTTTCCCCAAAAATAACGAGCCATCTGACAGGATAGCTTCCATTCACTTCCCTCTCCCTTAACTGTACAAGAAGCAGCTGAAACTTTTGATTCCATTTGAGAATACAGTAAGAGAGTCCAAAATGATTTTACGGACTTCAAAGATTTCAGAGTTCAATTGCAAGAACCTGAACTAAGTCACAGCAGAGCTCTCAGTCTGCTTCCACTCCTTGCATTTGCTGTGCTGTTACCCATTTCTGTGTGCGTAATGGAGGACAAGACAAAACAAAACACTGAACTCCTGGACAGTTTCAATTTGGGCAGTTGCTTGCTGCAGCAATTAAAATAATGTTATTCTTCTAAAAGAAAGAAATGTAATTATCTTCAAGCTCATCCTCACTAGTCAGAATTGCGCTGTTCTAAAGTACTTTCATAATCTCATTTTGAAACTGAGTCACTCATTATGTCAACAGCCTTGAAGGCAGAAAGATGATCCATACATACAACCACCGATATCACTAATCTTTCTGCTGTCATTTTTTCCTCTCTGAAAATAAGAAGTCAAGCAAATAAAAATAATTAATTGTGCAAAAAGGCAAGGAACTAGCCACCTCTTTGAACCCAGCGGTCTATAGTAAATGTCATATATTTTTATAGTAGAGTTTGTTAGTGCCAAAGATCTTTATTACAGCTTGACTTGCATCCCGTTCTGTTTTTTCTGCATACACATACTTAGCATATTTTTTACTTGAAGTTTCGGTTTAGCTATCAGGATAAAACAGCCCAATACCTGGACAGACTGCACTTTCAGTACACACTCTAGTATATCTTGATTCATAGTCTATCATACTTCCATTTAAACTCAAATGAAGAACAGTTATAATCCACTACCAAGAATTTTCTGGCTTTGTATAGAAAAGAATCTCTGAGCCCCTTTATTGGACTTAGGAAAATATGAATATGTTCGCATATGAAAATAAAGGAGCGAAACAACACAATAGCTACAGGCTAGTAACTACCATTACCAAGAAGTACTTAAGCCTGTCCATTGTATGCCAATATGCCAGTGGACAGCTTGACTTGGGTCCACTGCTGGACCTCATGCTTCCATTGCCCCAAGACCACTTAACACAAGTCCCCTCAGGCTGTGCTTTTACAAAATAGTTTTGTCTTTTCTGAACAAGCACTGGGGCTCTGCTCAACCACAAACCCCTTTCGCTTGCTATGTGGACACAACACACTCATCAGCAATGTTCAGCCTTTTTTAAATCAGGTTAAAATCAATAAAAACAACAACAAAAAACACCTGAGTGGATTCAACAAGGCATCAGATGAGAGCTGCAACTGGGACAAGCAATGCTTGGGACTCTGTGCGGTGCTGCTGACCCTTTTCAGCAGCAGAAAAGCAGCTTCAATCAGCTCCAGCTGCCTGAGACACAGGTCTGACTGTGCCCACACAATCCAAAGGAAGAATTCTCACTGACTTCAGTGGCATACAGCTGTTTGAAGCACCTAAGTCACTACACTGCTAATAATGAAGTTAAGGGGTATAAGCTTCCTGTCAGGAGAGGGCTGTCATAACACCTCTGTTCTAGTCTATTCATTAACATTTTAGTGGTGAGACGTTTCTTATGAATGTGAAAAGAAATAATACTTGTTAGTTGCTTGCTGAATTTGCACGTCACGTAATGGATTTCTCCATACAAGTTATTATTCAAGAGGCTTTTCTGAAATAATTCTTAGGTTCTAGCAAAGAAAGGGAGAAGAGTCTCAGACCTTCATTCGATTCTGTTTGATGCCTTCTACAATCTGCTCCATCTGCCGTAAAAACTGCTCACGAGAACCAGAAGATGCCATTGCTCTGGAAAGAAAAAAAGACAATAACTGACAGGGATGTGGGACAACGTGTCTCATCTACAGTTGTCTTGCATTATTTACTCATGTCCAAGAATTCACATTGCTTAGAGTTCTATGTAAAAATTCATCTTTTTCATCACTGATTTCAGGTAACAGTGCAGCTCTTCAGCTGGTATAAACTATCAAAGAGATGGGAACAGAGACTACAGAGATCATCACAAGTGTTCTCCCTGTCAGTTCAAGTCTGTTCCTTTCTTTCATGTGTTGTACATAAATAAATTGCTATTAACTAACCAAAAGCACAAACTTTTAAGAAAAGCAGCTGTTGTGAGTATTGAGAAGGGGAGCAGAGGACTGGGAGATCAGCAAATATCCTAAAAATGAATTTCATGCCCTAATAGGGAAAGCCCAGAAGTAATTTTAGACTTGTAACAGATCTTAAACAGATTAAGAAAAATAAACCAAAGAAAATACAATTCCACCCAACAAAGAAACCAATCCAAAACCCAGCTGTCAATTACAGTATTGGTTTCTACTGCCTGGACAGAATCAAAAGGATCTCATCACTGAGCAAAATAGATCTACAATCCCTGCTGCAAAGGAAAACATCTGAAATACTTAATTCTTGGGTTTTTTCATAATTAAAAGTTTTGGACATCACAATAGGAAAAAAAAAAAATCATTAAAAAAACCCAAAATTTGTGACCAAACACAGGACACAAGTGTATAGAAGGAAGTAAAGAGATAATTACTCTGGAGGGGAAAAAAAAAAAGCAGCTTAGAATTTGTCAGATTTATTTAATAATTAACAGAATTATTAAAAGATACAATAAGAAGATTTGTCTAAAACTATTAAATGGTCACGTCCTCCCCATGACTCTCCTGAACTGTACTGCTGTGACAAAAATTCATACTGGACTTTTTTTTCTCAAGTCAAAAACATACAGAGAAAAAAAAAATGCATCATAGACTGATATTTGACCTCGAACTTCCAAGGGAACCATGATTTTACCTAAAGACTTCACACTATATCAAACCCTTTAATTACAGAGTTAGTTTACAGTAAACATGTCTGAAAGATGTCCAAGTGTAATGTTTTGTACATAATGTAATAACCACAACTTCACAAAATGGAGAAAAATATTTAAATTAACACCAGGAAAATTATGACTGAATGATTTCTTTCCACAACCAAAGAGCCAGATATTAAAAACATACGTTGTCTATAAAAGTTAGGTAATTCCAATCTGTGATTCCCCAAACATTGGCTTAAACAGATTTACTAAACTATTTTATAAAAGTTTATGTTTATAAAATTTTTTAATACATTTTTAGTCTCTAACTCGTGCCCACTCTCATTTTTCCAACCAACCATACTACTCACTGCAACCAGCAAGAGAAAAAGGACCATTACTTACTGATGAAAGTTGTCATGAATAGAATTCAGTAAGTTAACCTGTGAATTAGGAAAAAAAAGAAAAGAAGAAGAAAATATACATTTGTCTTTTCTGGTATGAGTATTCACAGACAATAAAATGAAATTTAGTTCAAAAAACTCACTATATAGATATTGCCCTGACAAGCAGCCAGCTGTACGAAAATCACCACAAGCTTTCTTTCAGAAGAGAAACCATGATCCTTTTGTATTAGTAAAATCTATGCCAGTGGGGAGGAGTCACAGAAAGCAAAAGCAAGTCTTGGACCACAACTGAGATTTTTAATTTTACTGACACCCAATTATACCACTGAGAATCTTCTAGTGTGATGACTTGCCAAATTAAAGCGATGAGGTAAAATGGCATATACATGTGTTCAACATGTGTTGAAACTTGAGGTACAAGTAATTTCGGGTACTCATCCAGTGTCCAACAGTGACAGTACACAAGCATGTGTTGTACCTATGTTAAGTTTGCATAATTAGCCTTAATTGTAGTGAGAAAGCAGAACTGTTTCACTTAGACATATCCCTGACTATGCTTACAAGCCAGACAGGATAGCAAATGAAGAAATACCTTTAAAAAAAACACCCACCAAACAAAAAAGCAGCAGTAACTCCCCACCAACCAAAGAGAAGAAACCCAGGTTGTATTAACAGTACTGAAGATGCTAGCTTTGAGGCTATTAGCAGCATAGCTCTGTCAAGAAGCTGCAATGTAGCTCATCAGCCTAAGCAAAGCATTGCATCAGGGAAGAAAAAAAGCCCAAACAAACCAACAACCAAGTAAACAGAAAACCCCCCACTTTCGCTTTTGAGACTGGAACCAGTATCTCCACACAATACTGTAAAGACTCGCCCAGCAGTACAGGAACAGCAAGTGAATGTCTGCACTGTTTTCATTATGCAGAGGAGTTTTACAGGTTTCCAAGCAGCCATGCATCATTACTCACTTTGCTTATATGTATTTTACAGGCTGTTAAAGGATGAACTTCTAAAAAGTACAGAATGGCATTTCTCTTACAAGAGATACTAACGTTGCACTGAATCAAGACAGAAATAGAAATTTGTAACAGCATCACAGGAATATTTTGTTGCTATTGGCATAAAGTCCCCCATTAATTAAACTATATATTGAATATATTCTATGTAACTTGCTTTCTCCGTATTGCCGAGAGCACTAAAATTCACCAAGTAGCAATTAATGTGATTCTCTCTGCTTTGAATGAATACTTCTAAGTTTCCTGTGGTTAAACCTTCCAAGCAGTTTCTCCTTTTGATGAGGAAGTGAAAGTGCTCTGTACTAAACAAACTCAAGCGGTGTAAACAGAATCACTTGCCCCACTGCTATGGAAAGCTAAATTGATCTCTCCCAAATCTAACAATCTTCCATCTGAAAGAGACAGTGATAAGCACATGCATGGCGGAATCCGCAGTTGTTCCTGCCCTTACTTTGGAAAAATTCAAACAAACAAATTCTGAACAGGCTCCAGAGCAGCTAAGATGCTTAAGAATTCCTGTTACTTAGAGGAAAGAAATTATTGCATGACTCATCAATATTTGCCAAGTCCACATCCCTGCCTGAAGATATTTCCAATAAGCATGCATTTAAGAATGTAATTACAGTTTATACCGCAAAACATTCAAGTCATGAAAAGTAACGCTGCACTATTGCATAGTAGAAGTTCTGATATGTTACATTACAAACACTAAAATCAGTGTATAAACCCCAAAAGTCAAAGACGTTATAAAAAAATATTGTTTAAAAGCATTTTAAAAGCGAATCTTTCACAAAATATGATTAAAATATTAACCATATTCACAGAGACCTTCAATGTCAGAACTATAACCTTTATAGCCAAAATTCCACTGTATAGCAATTCCTGCTATTGTTATTTTAAAGTAATTATGCTCAGCATATTTTATGAAAGGGTTCAATTTTGGGAGAAGAAAAGAAAAAAAGGATAAAAAAAAAGCACAAGCATATTTTGTCCATAACTAGACAATATTTACTTGCTGAAACCTTGGTTCTAATATTAAAAGCAACAAAAGGAAAATAAAAGCAAAAGGAAACCTCAACTATATTATACATTTAACAAAGTTAAGACTGCATCAGAAGACATTCAGTCCTCTCTTTTATGACTGACATAAAGCTAAAAGAAACTCTTGATCAATTTACTTGTCTTTTGAAATTATATCCATGTAAGTGAACTGAAAAAAAACCCCAAAACTAAAACCAACCAAAACCCCTAAAACAGGCATTGAATTATATTGGCAAGAGTACTTCCAATTTATACAACAATGAAATACATCTGCTCTGTATTCTGTCAGCTGTTTTTAATGTGCCCATTTCAAAAACAATCTCTGTATGGTTTTTAAATTTGCATGCTTGCCCTCAAAATAAAAAAAAATAATTTAAAAAAAATCTGTATTAAACTCTAGCCCGGGGGAGAAGTTAAAGTAATAGGAATTCTATAGCTGCTACTGCACATAGTATTTTAAATCTGGTATATTGTTTTCTGCAGCCTGTTGTATTATATATTATGAATAGATTTCACCATTTAGAATAAGAAAGTAAAAACAATGAAAGACACAGAAAAACAAAGCATGTGATAATCTCCTTACAGACTTAGATATAGCATTTGCCAGGACCACTGGCAGCCAGTGGCACCCACTCTTGCACAGAGATGCAGGTTTTACTCCTAGGGCTCCTGAATATTCAGTACGTAACTGACATTATATAGTATCATCATTGTTGGTTTGTAAGAAATCAATTTTTGAAAAACTTCCAAGGAAAATTCTTAATGGTGTTTTCAGGAGATGAAAAGGTAAGTTATACCATTAATCCCAAGGTAATTTATTTGAGGATCTTAGGAACCATAAGGTAGAATAATTTTTAGAAACAGCATTGTCTCATGCTAAACTGAAACCTCTCC